TTGTTTTGTTTGTAGCAATCTGGGTAGAATATGTTAATAATTCATACATTTGCAGAATTAAATGTGAAGCATCCACTTCTCTAAAAGTGAATGCTTTTAGGCCACGCCATATAGGAAAATATGCTATCTTTGCTTTACATAAACTGTCTTTGCTTATTGTTTGTTGTTTTACTTCCTATCAAAATACTGATGTTTCTATGGTATTAGTATTTTCTTTGTTTATAATAAGCAATAATATAATAAGCAACTTTAAAAGTACCATGTCATAGACAATTATCCTGCAACATCAGTGGCATACACTGACAGCATCCTGAATGGTGCTGCTGAGTGACATATGCAAATGAATTCCTTCTGTTAATTTCTAAAGAGAAGAGGTGTCTTCTATCCCGAGCATTTCACTTTGTAGTAGGATCTGAATTTTTACTCAGTTATCCAAATTATCTGAAGTCTTTTCTCCCCTCTTGTTTTCTCTCTCCTCCCAACCAAACCCAACTCCTTCATGTTAAAATGCTAGCAGTCTTTTTCTGCTGACTCCCCAGTTACATTCTCTACCTCATTGAGCTGCTTATGAGCTGTGTTCCTGACGCTGCAACTTCCTCTGCCTTTTACATTCTACAAAAGCCATTTTGATCTGATTCTGCGCTCAAGAAATCATCCAGGATGTGCTTGGAAGCAATTCATACTCAGTTGCTCTATGATGTGCTGTAGTAGTATCATAGTTTTGTTGGAACAGAACAGGTCTATATGCATAGGTTGTTCCAAAAGCAATGTCTTCTACTTGTTTCCATAGAATCAATATCAGATACAAAGAGTACACACAGTAATGATTTGATAGAGCCAATTATCAGCTACAAAACACCGTTTTTCAACCTATTTAAATTTTAAGCTCACACCACTGTGCACCTACTCAGCTTCACGCATCCTGGGTCCACAGGAGCTCATGCAGGATATTTTAATGCTTGTGTCTATCTGTGCAGTAGGTGGACAGCTTGTTTTATATGTGTGAGATGGAAATTTCACTGAAAAGGAGAGGAGGACACGTATCTATATGTAGAAGTAGAGAGGAATTCATCCAAACTTACAGGGGAAAAAAAAAAAGTAAAAATACTGATTTTTGTTTAAAGCTTGAAATAGTCATTGATTTAAAATGTAAAATTATTTCAAAAAAAGAAAACAACAACTAAATGCTTTTCATATGAAAATGCTCTTCAGATCACATAGGTACTTATGGGTACTCACACGGGTCACTCAATTAATCCCTGAATTTTCAAATGTTCAAGTTGTATTTTACATTACTGATTTTTAATTAAACTGAAAGCCATGCTTATATCTGAAAGACAAAGATTTATGTTTGTAACTTTCTGAAAAGTTATGTTCATTACAGTACAGCAAATGTGGTGAGAAACAGTGACAAACCCTGGCTTCTTTGGAAAAATGCCATTGTTGATTAATCATAATATATTTCAGCTGTGTATGGATTTCTGAGTTACCCTGTAAACACACTGCTTTCATTCTTTGGAGATTAACAATGTCTCTTGTGTGCTCAGGTTCCCTCTGGCTTAGTACACTGTTTCTTTTGAAGGATTTATTTTCCTGGGTTGAACTTTAGGGACTTGGAGCACCTTATCACACTTTCATAAGCTTGCTTTCTGAGGGGGAACGACAAGGGGAAAAAAGCCTGTCACAGCTTGTGCCAGTCAAATCCAAGCTCTCAGGGGATTTGTTTTTCTTTTGGCGTCAGATCAGATGTTCAAATGAGGGGAGTTTTGGGGCTGTGAGCGCATGTCCACCAGACCCTTAACAAGGCTAATCCCACAGCAGCACATTGCAAGCAGCAGTGAGTGGGCACAAGGACTCCACTCTGCTGCCATCCCTGAAAACAGGCTGAACGCCTTGCTCAGGGAGCAAACACAAAAGTCTTGTTAGCAATGACCAGCAGCAGCAAAATGTCTACAGCAGAGTTTGCTCTGGGATAGACTTAGACACCAAGCGTGATGACCAGGTAAAAAGGGCCGCCCCCCCCCCAAAAATGATCTCTGTGGGATTTTACACATATCTGACAGAGGTATTTTATTGAGAGATCCAAGTTACAAGTAAACTAAATCGGAATGTAAGTGTGACATACACTTCAGGAATTCACTGTGGACTTTAAATTTTTTTATGAATTAATGTTGAAGGCATGCTTGTGAAAAAGCAGATACAGAAGAAAAGCTTTTGATTCTACTGTTATTGCAAATACTTTTCTAAGCTTTTTACTGCTTTATTAATTCAAATTATAAACAAGAGTTTAATAAAGACTGTTTCGTAATTAACTTGTTAATTTCCTCAAATCATTCTAATTCCTCTATGAGATCCCTACTGCAAGTGATAAAATTTATTATACCTCCAAGCCTTGTATTTCACTGCAAATGTTCTCCATGACAGAACAGTAACTGACATGGAGTAGTAGAACTGGATGCTTTTAGTTTGAAATAAATTTGAAATGAGAAAATCATGTGTTGGTGTGCCTTAACTGTCAGGTTTTTTATCTTTGAAATCTAAAACCCAAGAAGTCTTTTTCCCTTGATATGAAAAAAAAGATTTTTTTAAATCAGGCTATTATTTTTTAATTTTACATTTGAAGAAATGTGATGAAGATTCCAATTATTACATTAGGCAGATATGGGTTTCTTTTCTGCATAGACAGAGAGTATAGAAGAGTGCAACTCCAATGTTACCTTTCTACAAATACTTTTGACGTTTAAATAAATTGCGTTAGTGGTCATCTTTTAAAATGATGCATTAGGTCTGTGTACCAAGTAAATTCACCAAGGTAAACTGCAGAGAAAGGTATTAATTAATACATTTAATGAGGGACATTTCCAGGGAGTCTTTGCAACATGGATGAGAATCATGGTAGAAGTTCTGCCTTTGGGTAAAAGCTGCTCATTCTTTCTAGAGAAGATGGAGGGTGTCATAAGCATGTAGTTACTGCTAAAACAAACATGCAGTAAGCTAAGTTGGCTTAGTCAATAAGCATCCTTTTCTCATCAAGTTACTATATACATGTAACAAAGGAGATTCATAAGCACGCAGTTTCTTAGCATTGCCCTCCTAAGGCAATATAGAACACTTGTGTACTCTAGAAATTGAGAGTAGGGTGAAATTTCAAGAATAGGTAGGTAGGTAGGTGGAAAGAATGTAATTTCAGTTATTAGCATTATAATGCTTGAATAATAATTGTAACTTCCTTTTTTTCTATACAACACACAGTACGATACAGTAAAATAAGAAAAACATTAGTTTTTCCACAAGGCTTCAAATGCTCTCCAGTAAGAGGTTAAGTTCTTGAAGTCCATGCTGAATATCTTAACAAATCTAGAAAATTAGTTTTTAAGAAGCATTTCCTTGCCTGAAGACTATCAAATTGAAAAAATGTTCAATAGAGTGCTGTGATTATTAGTGCTATAGGCTTGCTTGCCAGTATTTTGAAGGTACAATAATTTTGAAATTCAAGGTAATCTTCCCTGTGTGTACTATGACTTTTTAGATTTTTCAGAATTTTCATTTAGTTGTCCTTTGCTTAAACATGATACAAATCTTGTCCTACATTCTGAACAGGTTAAATTTCTGTTTGCTACAGTAAGGAAGAACAGTCAAATATGGCTCTATTTAATATTTTTAATAGGCATTTTTTATGCTAAGGTGCCTGCCTTTCTTGCAAAACATGAATTCGAGCAGATTTTTCAAATAAAGATGAGAGTTGAGAGATAAAATATTGTTACATAACATGAGTTATCAATTTTTTATGTACCATGAGTGAGGTATAAGGAATGTAGTTATGAATTGTTAGCATGGTACCTTATACTACTGGTGTTAATTGACTCCAAGAAATTTCCACAGCTCGCAGTGATTTCCAAAAATCCCAGAAAAACATGCTTCTGTCTTTAAAAATGATAGTAGGCTACAGATTTATCTAACAAAAAGATGTTGCCCAGTAGGTGTGGAATTTTATAAAGGCTGTTTCATAGTGTATTTTTTCACAAAAGCAAGGTGCTCAGATTTCATTTAAATGATCTCATTTTACTTTACTTAATTCCCAAATGGCTTCTTCATAGTGACTCTAGTTCTGTTTATGCTGTACAATTAAATAGGTAATTTTATTATTTAAATATATTTTATAAAATCTCCTTTTTTGTAATAAATTTTTTAAGGAACATTCCAATGTATCTGCTTATTAAATGAAATAATTTAACAATGGAGACTGATCTGAGAGAAATTACTTAATTTCCTGAAAGTATCTGGGCAAGGAATTGGAATGGAATTAACTGACATAGCTGCATTTGACTGAGTTTCGTAACTTACACAAACTGGTCATCTAAGTCTTAATGTATTCTCTGACTTTATCAGAGCTTTTTGTACTGTGTTTTAAGAATGAAACTCTTTTGTTGTTTTTTGGGTATTGATTGGTTTTTGTTTTGTTTTTTTTCTGTTGGAATGTCCATGTATTAAACTATACTTTCTAGCTCTATGTTAAACAGTCACACTGGCGCCGATACTAAAAATCACAACTGAATCATGGTGCTATCAATTTTACTTTGAGATTTTTTTCTAGTTTCTGAGATTCTTTTTTTATTTGAGTTATGTCACTGTATTTAAAAAGTATTTTTGACAAGCAGCTGTGATTGTCTCTCCACTGCAAAAAGATAATAATAATTTACAGTTTGATGGAATTCTTCTCCAGTGATTGCCCTTATAGGAATGTAATTAACAGCATAATAGTCAACTGGCTTGAGAAGATGAAAAAATGTAGGACCTTCTCTTGAGTGCTATAGAGGAGGAAACCACAAGTTTAATAGAAAGTGCTTACTCTGTGCAACTTGTGTACTGTGCATTTGTGTACTTGTGTACATAAATGCAAAGTCAGCTACTTTTTCTTTTATGTTTTAAATTTTCTCTTCAAAGGTACTGTAATCTGTGTTTAACAAGCAGAACCTAATGCATTTTCTCTCTCTTTTTAGGCACAGAAATCATGGATAGAAAGAGCTTTTTACAAGAGGGAATGTGTTCATATCATACCCAGCGCCAAAGACCCCCATAGGTAATTGCATGCTACTTGCATGAAAGTCAAGTCAGTTACATGGAAGTGTCTTACCCATACGCATCTGTTTGTATGTAGATAAAAATACTTTGTAATGAGATATTTAATAATTGGTTAAATTACAGATGAAGAGATGGATTCCTATGAGCACTATTTTTTTTACATTTCAAAACATACTTCATCAAAAAGAGACATGAAAGGTCATCCTTGTCTGTGTTTAATTTAGAATAACAGAATCACAAAGGTTGGAAAAGACCTCTAAGATCATTCAGTTGGTGGATATCACCAATATTTCCCACTAAACCATGTCCTTCAACACATCTAAATGTCCCTTGAACATCTCCAGGGTCGATGACTACACCACCTCCCTGGGCAGCCCATTCCAGCACCTGACCACTCTCCCAGAGAAGTATTTCCTAACATCCAACCTGAATCTCTCCTGTGCAACTTGAGGCCATTCCCTCTAGGAATTTCCTCATCTTCACAGGGAACCTTCTGGTTCTTCAAATATTTGGAACAAAATATTGCCAAAAATATATATACAGAAAATTGTGGTGAACTACTACTAATTTTGAGTATCTGTTAGTGCATGCAAAAGACTATTGTCAACCTAATGTCCTTTGAGGACATAGAAAATGTTATTGAAATAAGTGATAATGCAAACAGAATATAGAAAGAAATGTTGATATCTGTACTATATTCGTTTGGGATAGCAAAAATGAGATCTGCAGAGTTGAAAAGGTTTTTAAGGGGAAGATGTATAGGCTGTTTATTATGTCTTTTTTGTATACATCCGTGTGATATTAGATTTCTGCTTGTTTAATATCATAGGTGTTGCTGTGGGCGTCTAATAGGTCAACATGTTGGACTCACTCCAAGTATCTCCGTTATCCAGAATGAGAAAAATGAGAGCAGGCTTACTCGCAATGACATCCAGTCAGAGAAGTGGTCCATCAGCAAGCACACGCAGCTCAGCCCAACGGATGCTTTTGGAACCATTGAGTTCCAAGGAGGAGGCCACTCCAATAAAGCCATGGTAATCATGCTTTTCTCTTAGATAAATAACTAATGTTGCTAGCTGGATTAAAAAAAAAAAAAGAAGAAGAAGAAAAAAAAAAGAAAAACATTCCCAAATATGAAACAAATAATTCACTTTGAATTATTATTTAGTGTTAGAACACCGGATACATTACTATGTATTGTGTTCCAAACAACTGGTGAACAGAAGGAACTGTAAAAACTAGAGGGTAGCATAGAACGGGCTACTTTTGTAATAACTAAAGACATACTAACATGCAGATATCTTAATTTTCTTTCAGTGATCCCCTATCTATCTTTTTCTGAGTGCTTTAGAATTCAGCTGTGGCTTCCCATTGCTGGGTGTGTCTGCAAGGCTGACAAATTTGAGATAGATTTCCAAAGAGTTCCTCCACACATATGTTGAAGGATAGACTATTTGGATTTACTTGCTTATCTTTCAGCAAAACAAGAGGCCTACCAATGTCTAAGCAAAGAACTGAGAAATAGTTTTTCTGCTACAGGTTTTCTTGAACAAGGAAGCCTGTATTACGACTCATTCCTAATACAATGTTATGAAGTAATACAAAGTTATGAAGTTAATCTGAATGCATTTTTCCATTAAGTGATAGAAGTTTGCAGTGCACACACTAACCTATGCATGTATTTCTACATGGCATTCATGAAAAGATGTATCTAGCTAGAGCTAAACTGCAGTTCCTGTGACTTTGGGAATCAAAAGCAAGCCTGTATCTAGCATACTGTGTCTAAGACAGAGCTCTGGGCAGCTGTAAGGAGAGCCAAAACCCACTGGTGCTCTCCAGAATAACCTGCCCAGCAACCTAGTGCTATCTTGCTATCTTCTTTGTGTGAGTAGTTCCTTGCAGGATTCTCAGGACTGTTGTACTATTAGAAAGATTAGATAGATGGCAGGCTCAATACTGCACTACAAAGAGCCTAGTATTTTGCTCAGATGTGTACGTGGTGGATAGACGTGGAAATATTACTTGGGTGATTAGTTCTGTTTAACCAGATGGATGGATTCTGCTACAGGAAACCAGAAAACACTGTTGACCCAAGAAACAAACAGCAAATTAGGTAATTTCTTTGCAAGTATCATAGACACCTTATGTTCGCTTGGTAAATAATCACCTAAAAGTCTGCAAGGCCGTTGCTAGAAAGATAATATGATTGAGCAAATAACATTTAGACTGAAAAAAATTGACACCCTCCTCGGCCCCAATATGAAACAAACTATGTTGTTGGAATCTTCACAAAGACCAGGAATAAAACAGAATGCTTTTCAACAAAACTGAAATAGTTTCAGAGAAGAAGTTACCATCATGCTATTATCTGTATATGATTACATTACTTTAAGCTCTTTATGAGAGGGAGTAAACAGTAGAACTTTCTGAGTTATATACATGAAGAGCTCTTTAAAGCAACAAACTGCCCAAGGCATTTGGAGCAGCTTTGTACTAATTAGGAGTTTAGGGAAGGTGTTGATATTAATTGTGCTACAAGATCTCTGGTCTTCTCTGTTGGGATTCTGGTACCATAAGAGAACAGGAGATGCCTCAAGGTATATGCCACGTGCTCAAACAAATATATTTGAAATAAAATGAAGTCAAAGTGAACAACAGAGAAACCTTGATGCAGAGTGCAAACAAAAGTAAGACCATAAAGTATTTGGAAAAGGGAAGAAAAGCAGGTTAAAAAATCTCAGAGATATAAATAACTAAAAATTCAAGGAAAAGTATAGATGAAACATTTATTCCTTAAAAAATTCTGGATTTATCTTAATAGTTCTAGAATCAGGATGATGGCTGTATCTATGATCCTACACCTAAAGCATAGGAACAGAATTCTTTGTAAATTAAATATCTCTTCAAAAGCTCCAGAAATTCTGTCATTCTGCTAGTAGGAAAAGTGCTTCAAATTTAGCAATTCACTAAAAACCTCTGAAAGTCCCATTTGGCTAATATCAGATGTCTAAAGCACAAATGAGGAGTGAATAATGAATAATAATGACAATTAATTGGTTAATAATATTAATATTAATTAAAATCAAATTTTGTTATATTATAGTGTGTTTATCACTAAAAATAGTGTGAAGATGTCCTTATAATCGTAATTTCAGTACCACACATAATAATAGGGTAGATTTTAGTCAAGGAGCTGGCTAACTAGCTGTTGCAGTTTTATTAACAGAAAAAAAAATGAAACTTCTGTCTCTGAATTTGCTTTACACAAGATCTTTCCCATAATAAGCAACAAACTTACCAAATAAATGTTTTTTCTGTCCACATTTCAGAACCCAAAAGCAGCAAACCTGGAACATAAATCAAGTGGAGGAGGGAGGGAGGGAAGGATTGGACGTAACACAATGTGAAAAATGAATCTTAGTTCTTATCTAAAAATAGACTACTTAGTTATTTTCTAATTACTGGATATAAAATATCACTATAGCATAAAAGCTGATTTTTTCCTAATAGTCACATTAAGAAGTAGGTTAATTATATGCCTATTGCCTAAAAGAATAAACTTATAAATGAGCAAGATTTAGCAAGATAACCAAGATCAAGCAGAGCTTCAAGGAAGAACTTTATTTATTTATTATCCTGAAATGAATGCCTATATCTGAAATTTTTAAGCGTGGTAAACACACAACAGAAGAGCACCATCTTGTTCTGTGTGAAGAGCAAATCTAGTAGCTTATCCTGAATGAAGGCTACAAGAAATGAGATGGTATTTTGTAACAGAACCAACTGTAACCTCAGATTTGCAATGGGGAACTAGTACCCATAGTTAATTCATGCAACAGATCAGTAGATATAAGACTGACAGATAATTATTTCCTCCACTGAAAATAATAGAATTGGATTTTATTAATACATATATGAATTTGATGGAAAATATACATTTTTTGCATGTAAAATATAGTACTTTGCATGCATACTTTCAAGCTAAAAGAGCAGCACAAACTTATAACAGTTGACACCAGACTACTAAAAATAATGTCTGTAGTTGGGAAAAAAAGAGCAATTTTAACAGCAGATATAAATTGAAATGAAACAGTGAAGAGAATTTCAGATTTCTGTTGCCAGTAGGATTGGCTATGCCATTGATTTGGATTCTGAAAACACATAAAACAAAAATTCTCAAACAGAATGAATTCTGCTAATACAGTTGAGATGTTAATCTTCAGAGAGACTACACTAAGATATTTGAATCAATAAATAGGTGAGAATACAACAGATTATAAACACATAGCAGAGGTTTCATAATATTTGTTAATGAGATCAATTACTGAAGAGGCCTTTCATTCAGACTTCCTGTAAATACAGATGATCCTGTAAAAATTTTAAGGGTTTAAAGGGTATTTTATCAATCATCTGTTGCTTTCTTTACAAGCGGCTCATGCCATTAACTTTTAAGAAACACATTTAATGATTTTGCTGTTCATTGTTCTACAGCAAATGTACAGGTGAGAACAGAGAAAGATGTGGGAATACACAAACCTTTTCAATAGCCTTTGCAATAAATCAGTCAATTTAAGAGAAAGGAGAGAAAAGTGATTAATAAAATCGAATCCTCTTGTATCACTTGGCATTTAGTAATTTAAGAAATAGCACGCATGATTTCCTGTAACTATATATTAGCAATTTATTACCCTGACTCTGAGTGTAATTATTAAAGTGACAGAATGCATTCCAATTATGGGCATTAATCGGAATAATTTCAAAACAGAGACATTCTGCTCATTAGTTCACTAGCTTAGGCTATTTTGCTGTGATGCATTTTGCATTCATCCTATGACTAACCTTATCTAGTTCTTAAAATTTAGCATCTGCCCTTTCATAGAGGGGAAAAAAAAAAAACACCTTTACATAATATTCTTATAACTTTAAAATTCCTTTGATCATGGTTTTTCAAGGTTACCTAGAAGATGGTTGTTTGAAGAACTTTAGTGAGTTAAATTCTTTCATCGTACTTTTTAATATCTTTCTCCTAATCAAATCCATTCCAATAATATCTTGGCTTAATGTTTCTTATGGATCATGGGATCATTAAAGTACATAAATAGAATTCTGAAGCATATATACTGTTTCTCTCATAGACTTGCTTACATATGGGTTTTTCACACATATACTTTAATAACATTGTTTAGAAATCAACAACATAAATGTGTATTTTTGCTTTTCAAATGTATTGAGTCTTGTCAAGGCTGTGTAAAAAGCCACGAGTGTTGTGAAAATGTAGAGATAATAATTTAAATTGTATAACTCAGAAAAAAAGTATCAAGCCTTTTATTTTGTTATTGAATTTATATTCGAAGAGCATTTAAAAGAATTCAAAATATGGTGTCATATATGAAGAAAAATGGAGAATAACACAGAACGATAACTGTTCAAAAGCCATGTAAATCAATGATGCTCCTTCCACTGGCTGTTTAGTGAAACTTAGAGAAGCCTTCAGATGTTAAGGAGAAAATTAACTTACAAGGAACTAATTTGGTTTTGCTCTAAGTTACAGTTTTGCTATTGAATTTAGTGAGAAAAGGGTCAGACTTATTTTCTGTGAAAGTTACACTTTGAGGAATCAATCTTTAGCTTGTAGAACTATCTGCAGTGCTGGAATCTTATCTGAGACTGTGGAAATATCCACCCAGTCTTTGCTTGCATCAAAGAGAACCAGAAGAGCAGTGTTGGAAGATCACAGAATGTTATCTGAAGATATTTTCATTGATGAAATAAAATAAAATCAAGCTTTATTCTGAATCTTTCTCCTTCCCGTGACTCTCACCAGCTATTATGCACCATGTACTTTCATAAGATGGCTGTTCTTGAGTAACAGTCATATTTTTACCACTCAGTAACCTTGACTTTTGCCCTAAGGCATTGGAGTCCAACTTGCAAACATTTGGCTGTTTGATGGGCAGTATGCATGGTTATTTTTCAGGATGCAATTTGATTTAAAAAAAAAGGAAACAAGTGTTGGCATCAAATGGTGCTCTTACTGACAGCCTCAACACTAGTTGTGGTATTGAGTGGGCAAGACAAACATGGTGATCTTCCATTTTATGGTCATATGTTGAAATCAAGTCTGTCAGGGTATAAAAAGACACTAAAAAATAAAATAAAAAAACAGTTACTGGATGGATTATGTAATATATAATTGATGTCACTGGTACCTTCATTTTAGTAGCAGACAGAATGATGCTGTGGCCTGTGCTTTCCAAAAGTATCTTTTGGTCATTACTGATATGAATTCAGTTTGTCTAATTATCTGCTTGTAGCTCACAGTCCAACTTTCCCACAAACACACTGAGGTGGCAGTGATACCAAAACATAATCTCCATACTTAGAGCAGGATAGTGTTTTTGTACACGTTCAAAGGATGATGTTTCTGTGTCAGTGCCTGCAGTTTAACGAGTAGTAGCACTTTGCAGGGTTGGTTGTCCCTATGGTCAGGGCAAATGGAATTCGGATTAAGTCACTTAACACCTCTCCAGTGTGTTAAAATTTTGGCAGCCCCTGAATTCTAATCAAAACCACTACTCTCACCATCTGATCTGGTCAATAAGATTTTCCCATGAAGTTGAATGGTAGGTGCTGCTGATACAATTAACATATAGAAGCTCAGGAGTACCATACACTATGCCAAACATCATTATTGTATGGTGTTTGTCTTGCAGTTGTTAAGAATGTGCATGACAGTTATAGAGAACATTACTGATGTACTGGGACAAATATAGATTCACAAGTTGATGCTCATCTTTCAGTTTGGCTGTGTCCCACCTGCTTTCCTCAGGTGATTTGCACAGATAGGCTTCTGCTTCCAGAAATGCTGGAAATGGCTATTCGTTCTTTCTTGCAAAGAAACCTTCGGTATAATCAATTTCTTCCTGAAAGAGAAGTTGAGTCCATATTTCTTACTCAACTGGAGAGATGTCCATCTTACTAACATGTGCTTAGTAAAGCAGAACAATCTTATGGCTATAAATACAATTAGACATGATAAAACGGGACAATGGGATTACATTATATATGTGGATATTATGTTATTTGTCATGCCACAATGAGTAATGTAGATCTGGATGTTCCTACAGCTGAAAACAAGCTGTGTTATGTACCTGATGTCTGTTCTGACAAGCTATCAGGGGAAAGAATCCTGAAATAACTCTATAGGTATTGGTTCAAACAGACATTTGATAGGTTACTGGCTTTTGATAACCTACTTTATTTGAAAAAGCTGGCCCTTCCAAATCTTGTAGGCTATAGAAAGTTTTTATATCATCTTTTATAAGCCTTTGGTGCTGTATAAAAAAAAAAAATCAAAAAAGCATCTGCCGTGGTACAAGTTTTGTGAAACTATTCATATATCAGAAACGGAAAGAGTGAGGAAAAGAACCCAAGAGAGAAGGGCTTACCAGGGGGAGAGAAGTCTGTGTGCATTGTAGTGGGACTGTAGAGAATTTGAAGGCACACACATGAAGATGGACATATTCTACCTTGGGACAAAATACTGTAGATGCAACACAGAGGAGCCAAGATCTGGAAATGTCTAACTGTGTTTCAGAATAATTTTAAGGGGCCTATGCGTTGTCAGGCAAATTCCTGAATATGTGCAAATTAGTCTGTAAGTTGTAAAACAGCATTTGTTCATTTGAAAAGTGCATCTTTCATAATCTCAGTTTAAACTTGTATGTAATTGAATAACCAAACTTATTTCTGTTACTTCCTGTTTTGAGTGTTTGATTTTGTTAATTTCAAAATAAGATACTAGCAAATTCAGTTGTGACTGGGTTGTTTTTGTCAGACTGCTTAAATGTTTCCATTTTCTGCATTGTTAATTTCAAGACACATACCTATGAAACATCGCTAAGCATATAGATACAAATCATAATTTCCTAAAAGGATAACCATCCAGCTTGTGAATTGAAAGTGTTCCTAGTAGCCTAGTTTTTTACAAAAATCTGCAAAAATTATTAGCTTTGCAATTAGTTAATACCTTTATCATGAAATTTGCCTTTTTTTTCTGTGTTCTAATGGGCATAGGTCATATGCATTAGGCATCACTAAGTATAACCAATCTTTTTTTTTTTTCTTTACTACTGCCCTTATTTCTGCAGTATGTACGTGTGTCTTTTGACACAAAACCTGACCTTCTTCTGCACCTGATGACCAAAGAGTGGCAGCTTGAGCTCCCAAAACTTCTCATCTCTGTGCATGGGGGCCTTCAGAATTTTGAACTTCAACCAAAGCTCAAGCAAGTCTTTGGGAAAGGCCTCATTAAGGCTGCTATGACAACTGGAGCGTGGATATTCACTGGAGGAGTAAACACAGGTAACAGCAACCTTGAAATGAAATCACAGTGGCATCTATGAGATTTCATCAGTCTGACATAAGAAAAAAATAGGGCTGATCGGATTAGGTAAACATGGCATGTTTTATTTTATTAGTGCTGACGGTACTGTGTGTGAACATGAAAATGCCAAGTTGATACCAGTATGGCAGCTACCAAGGAATACAAGGATTAGTTAAGCAGGAAAAACACACTGGAGAGATAAAAATAAAACCTCCTGTAAGGCAATTATATTAGTCCTGAAGACTTGACAAGGTCAACAATCACCTACAGAGACAGAATACTAACCAGAAGCTCAAGAAGTTAAACTTATATTGCATAAAACAAAAAACATTTTTGTCCAGAAAAGATATTTCACTTTCTTTTTTAAGATGATCTGAAATGCTAAAGGAAAAAAAAAAAATGTTGATGTGATAGAAAACTTTACTGTGAATAAGTATCACTTTTTCCTTTCCTGCAGACCTATATTTTCCTATTACCCCTGTAGCAAGGGAGATAATATCGTCATTTGTATTCAAAGTTGAATACATCTGTAACATACCATATGGGCCTTCTAAGAACCCAAGACAGCAGCTGGCTCAACTCTTCTGTGAGACAGCACATCAGTTTGGGGAATAATCTGCTAAACCTCGTTCCCTAGATAAATAAATGTTGGGAATTAGCTTCCCAGCTATCCTCCCTGCAAGGAGACAGAGTAGAGGAGAGAGTCAGGAGAAAAACAAAGATTTCTGCTAAAGATAAGTGCAAAAAGTTTTGAGCCAGGACTGACGTACTTGTCAATTCTTGCCATTCTTATTTGCTGCAGTAACACTGTAATTTATTACTTCAGTAATCCCACAGAGTGTATCCTCTTACTATCAATGGAATATATTGCAATCACTCTATCATGCATTAGTTTTAATGCTTTGGGGATCAACTCCTATGCATTTGAATATGCGTGCAAAAAGAGAGTCTTTGGCTATTTGGCTTACAGGGCATATAAAATTTAAAACAATAATAGGTTTTATCACATCAGCAATATAAATAGAAAATAAGAGGTGTAATTTTTGGTCTGTTTCTTATACTCTGGGTTATAGTTTAAATTATAGCTGATTCTTTCACAAGGAGAGAGTGGTTGTTTCTTTTTCCTTTTAAACCACAGGAAGGAAACACACTTCAGTGTTTTGTCTCTTTATTTTTTACATGGTTCATTTAAAGTGCAGATAAGCTCAACTAGAATTTTACCTACTGTGTGACTGTTACATTTATAATCCAGTTATTTTCAAATTCATGGAGTCAGAAAAAGAAGCAAACGGAGAGACTGAGTAAGAGATAACAACCACAGCAAATCCTAAGGTCTGCCGCAGTGCGGCTGGATGCAACAGATAAATAAATGGATGGACAGATAGATAAATAAATAAATTATTGATATGTGGGTCAAAAACTGATTTTGTGAAAATGAAGGAAGAATGGATTATGTCCTCTGCATTAGGATACATCTGGAACACTGACAAAGTGCATCAAAAGCATACAAACAGGAGTATCAGAAAGCACAGGAAAGAGAAACAGGGAGCAGTCATTCTCTCTATACTAATTTCTATATTTTTGCTGATCCTCAAGTGATTGTGGATTTTTGCAAAAAATGTCTGAACAGATCACCACACAGCAGAGAAAGAATTTTTTCAAATTTCTATCCTTTATTCTGGCACAAAGTGTCTTAGTCTTTTCTTTTTTCATTGTTGTGTCTGTTTCTGTGTTTGGGAAGGATACACATATCATGTGTCTGTTTGCATGCATGTGCATTTGTGAACACAAGTGCAGATAAGCAAGTTACAGTCAGCTCTCATTTTTTCTCTTTTTATTTCTAGGCCTGCATAAATATTTTTCCTGCTACCTCATTTAATAATTTTGTAGCATAGATAAAACAAACATATAATATTTCTATAATAGTAATCAGTGAAAAAATATTCATATCTTGACTGATGAGCATTAAGTTGTCTTCATCCATTGCATAGGAGATCCCTAAAAATAGGATGCTTACCATATCATAACATATAAATCCATACCAAAATGAACAGAAGTGTCATTATTTTTAAATCTCTGTTTTATGCTTTTTCCCCCCAGGAGTCATTCGACATGTTGGAGATGCACTGAAAGATCATGCCTCAAAATCCCGAGGGAAGATCTGCACCATTGGTATAGCTCCCTGGGGGATCGTGGAAAATCAAGAGGATCTGATTGGCAAAGATGTAAGTCTTGTGTGGACATAGATAACCTCTAATATATATAAATTTTGCAGTTATTTTCCTTTTCTCTTCATCCTGAACTTCTCATAGAATTAATGCCTCTAACAACAACAGAAAATCAGTACGCACCCAGAGCTTCCACTATGGGTGATAACAATTTTGACATAGCAACAACAAAAAAAAAACAAGAGGTCAAGAAATAGAAATTTGCAGTACTTTCTAGAACATATACTTTATTTTAAAATAAATCACGAAGAAAATGTACTAAAGTTTCATCTTTTAATCGTTATGCACTGGAAAGCTTGAAGTCTGATTCATTTTGCAACAGTATTATGATGTATTGGTTATATTCATACTTACTGACAGTCTCCCATGCAACATATTCCATCTTATTACTTTTTATTACCTCAACTGAGAAAAATCTTATAAATATTGGCCATGAGATCAAACCTCAATGAATCATAACAGTTACCTTCTAACAGGACATATTTCTGTCACTCAGAAAAATTAACTATCATCATTTGAAATAGATGAGTGGCTTCTGATAAATCAAAAATTCTTAGTCTTATCATCACAGAGAAAGGAATAACAGTTTAAAAAAAAAGAAGTGAAACAAACATTTTTAGGTAAAGTCTTCTATGAGTGCAGCCATGACTGCATCATTAGAGCTACACTTAGAGAGATATCACCAGCTACAAAAGCAGTACTAAAATACATCTTTGGTAGACAAAATAGAATTTTTTCCTTTGAGCTCTGTGACCCCTGATATTTCCATAAAAAGTTTGATTGGTGGAATAATGCAACACTGAGGCATCTTGGGTGTTACTGCTTTCTATTGGACATGTAAGCTTTATGCTTACTAATATTGCATTTCATCTTCCATTTGATAATCTTGTCAGGCTACATTATAAAAGCTTTCGTCAGCTCTTCATAGTCCACTGAATTGTCTGCAAGCTTTTTGCATTCATTGACCTCAAACCTCTACATTTTGGCCTCATTTTTTGGTAGGCCACTTGTTATTAATCTTTTTAGTAATTAGTTGTGGCAAAAAATAACCTTTCTTTCTTAGCACTTTCCATCCTTTTCTCTATAATTTCCTGTTACTAAACCCTCAAAGAATTTTCAGTGTATGCAGTTTCTTTTGAAACACTTGGTGAGCAAGTGTTTTGAAAATCAAAGTGCACTGTATTGACTGGCTCATTAGAGGTGAATGCTGTGAAATGAACCAAGAAGGGGGAATATAAATAGTACCACAAGAATGTAAAATGAACTATCATTAAGAAAAACACACAAGGCACAAAAGATTGCATGGCAGAAAAAAAACGTCAGCCAATAGTGAAAGGCCTGTTGAACTCCAGCATCAACATGGCTTTATGCCTATATGCACTATGTCTGGTTAAATTATGATCAAAATTGGGGTGTTGTCAAAGCATACCCTCACTGCTTGGAACAGCATTGGATACAGAAAGTAATCATGGAATATTAGTGGAGAATAGGAGGAGTTTATTTCCGCCAGTGCACATGCCCCAGTACACGCTGCCTCTCCATGCTTTGTGGCTCACCAGGTTTGATCTGTTTCTGCTAATTCTCTGACTCTATTCTGGCCTGTGTCACGACTGAAGTCATAGCTGAGAAGTTTTACATTTACCGGCCATATCAGTCAGCTCCTGGGTAGCCCAAGGGTTCTCTTCAGACTCATGAAGATAAGTGGGCAAGTAAATTAAGCAAAATATTACTGATGTTTGTTATTTTGTTTGTTATTTTTGACAGCTAACAGTCCCTGAGGAGACCAATCTTACTCTGATATGGTAAAATCAATACAGTACAAAACAGTGCCCAGCTTAACACATTTAAATTCTAATTTAAAAACAGGGCACTCAAAAGAAAGTTAGACTGCTGATTTATTTCCAATTTTCTAATACAAAAGCTGAGAAAGTAATGTTGCTTGCTTAATCTGGTGGAAAACTTGTGTTACAGCCATTCTTCCCTTTACACATGGAGGCATTTTTCCATCTAAAGAAACGCAGTCTGTGAGTCTCTATAGTGTGCGTGTCATTGAGTCTTCCTTTGCAGGGTCTGTTCAGCCCTCGCTTGAGCTTAATTGCTCATCACCATAGTAGGAACAGTGTCTGGATTAGGACTACTTTGATTTCATTACTTGCTCTTTGCTCTGTGAAGTCAACCAAGTCTCATTTTTTCGTCCAGAGTAGCTATTATTTCAGCTTCAAGTGTATATATGCTTTTACACTTTGACTTAGTTAAGAACTTTCCCAGTAATATGATATGTCCCTGATCTTTAGCAGTGCTTTAGTATATGACCTTAAGCAGGATGCCTTGGTTTAGTGATTCAAGGTTTGAAAACAAAAAGCCAAAATCCTTTTTCTTATTGATTTCATCAAAAGGTAAAATTGATCTCCTGTGCTGCCATGCCAAATCACTCCAAAACCTGTTACCCACTTTTCCATGCCTGCTATAAAAATCTCTCCTTCTATAGATTCAGCAGGTCAACATAAGAGGAAATTCATAATTTTTCTACCTTTTTTTGTGCATTTCATTTGTGAGTTATTGTGTTTCTCTTCCCATATTTCTCTTTTGATATTTGAATTGCACTCAGCAGTGAGTGCATGGCATAAAATGAAACTCACCAGAGATTCTGGAGAAGGTAGATACTTACAATTTTTATCAAAGGCTCTATCCAATAAAGAGAAAGTATCTGTGGTCAGCTGAAATCTGTGCAGCAGAGCACACAATGCAAAATACAAGCTTTCTCTTTAAACCTGTACCATAAGTAAATAACATAAATGAACAACTGCATGTAAGCAAAAATGTATTAACAGAAAGAAAAATACTTTCACACAGCAAATTACTACATATATATACATAACACCTACCAAATATTACCATATATTGTATAGCATATTTATGTACAACCATTTTCATGTTCCAGAATAAATTATACTTTTTACTCTTTGGAATTCAGATGCTTACAATGGGAACATTGTCACTAGCAGATATTCTTTATGGACTTGTTCAGAACATCAAGGGAAAAAAAAAAAAAGCAGAAAATGAAAAGTACACAAGTGATGAGTATTCTGCTACTAAAAGTCTACTCTCTTGTACGGTTGACATTATAAAAATGAAAAGTAAAAATGGTCTTTCATATAAGGCCTATATTGGACTACACATAAGTTGAATCCAACCCTACATATTTATCTTGCTAAAAAATAGAATCTGACTTTCTCAGTCTGTGTCTAGAATTATTAAAAACTGTACTTTCATAACCACCATTTTTTATATCAGCACAGATGTTGGATTTTATAACTTTAACTGGGTGTGAAAGCATGTCATCAACAAAGTTTTCTCTAGGGTGCTCAAACAGTACAGCAGATCTCAGTAGTCCTGCCCTACTTGCTAATATTTTAAGTTTTTCAGTATTGATTTGGATGGTGGAACAGGGAGGCCATTTCAAAGCTGGAAGGTTATGTGCACTTTGGAAGGCTGCATCACAACAGGGAAGTTGTCTGAAGTCAAGTGTTATGAACTTCTCAAAATCACTGGGACAATAACAGACAGGGTAGCTTATTCAGGACAGACAAGGACCTTCCTTATTGTAGTGTATCACCAGGAAATTATTGAAAGTTTAAAACTTAATTATTGAAAGTTACAGCCTAATAACAGAACGCTTTTTCAGAATTATGTTGGAATTTACAGATGAGATTGCCACACAACATTCAAGTCACTTATTTCTATAACAGTGGACACGGGTAAAGCATGTCTGTAGTTATACGACAAGTTTAGCGCCAACTGGAAATGAAGAAAATGCATCTGATGTGGAATGCTTATAGATCTGGGATTCTTTACTAGGTATTACAGCTAGATTGACTGAGAAAGACTTACTTTCACCATCACACCAGGTTATGCTCACTCCTTTCTCACTGATCTCTTCTGTAAATACCTCATTATAAATAACTTCAGCTGAGTACCACTGTGCCAGAACCAAGTGCCTTTCATTTTCAGAATAACACCATCTTCCTTGAGATGACTAAAGGTTATCCAAATGAGAAAAAAATATTCATTTATGCTTAAGGGGGGGGGGGGTTACATGCTTTCATTTTTACTTAGTAAGACCGGATAATAATGTTAGCCTACAGCATGAAACTCCTTTAAACAGCATGAGACTTCCTTTTCTCTTTTACACATCTCTGTTTTATAGTGTAAGAAAGATTCAGCTTTGCTTTAACTACTCTGCAGATTTCAGAATAACAGTAAAAGTTACAAATCTCAGGCAAGATCTGACTTACTTTGGTAGATAATTTTTCTATTATTTTCAAAGAAATACATTACTTGTAGTTAAATAGAATTCTGGAAAAAGATTATAGGTGACGAAAAGTAATTTACAAATTCATTTCACTATGACTTTTGTCTTGTGTCAAAGCATCAGAGTCTCTTTTTCATGTCAGGTTTGAGCCACCAAATAATTACTCCAAGGAAAAGCGTAGGGAAGAGAGATTCAGCTCTCATTGCAAACTACAGTGTGAGAAGCATGTCTGAGGCAAAGCTGGGGACAGTAATATTTGCAGCATATACAGGCTTTGGACAGGGATGCTTCTGGGATCCTTTAAATTAAACCTAGAACTGTTCTGTTCCCTTGGGTACCCCAGAATAGTGAGGCATCACAAAAGGCATAATTTGAACAACAGCTGCTCAGTCTTTCAGAAGCAAAGTTTACATCTTTCTTTCTTCTTGCACCGTTACACTGAACATACTGAGTTTGTTGTAAATGCCTTATCTGCATCTAGATTTGTGTGTTGAATAGCATGACACATGCATGCTTCAGCAGTGGTGGGGAAATGCATTAGGAGGTGTGGTACAGGCCAAGACACAAGCTGGATCTCTTTTACTGCATTGGGTTACCAGCCAGTGTCAATGACTGGCCCCCACTTCAGGGCCCCCAGCACCTGGTTCATTTATCTTCTGCCACTAATTACTGTATTACATTTTTTCTCATTGTCCCTTTTGAGATACCTGAAGGCACTGTCTCTATGCTCAGTATCATGTACCTGTGGGAAATGTAAAAGAAGTGTACTAGTGCTTTTAGTCCAAGCTTGCTGTCTCCTCAGGAGGCAGAGACGAGCACTGCATTTGGCCCACCTCCTCACCTATTGACAGCACAGGGAATGAGTCCTCACCTTGAGCAGTGTGGCTATTGCATCACAGCATGCTGCTCTCACAGTTGTTATCCTATACTTAGAAGGGTTGTCTTGAGCATAAGTGCTTCCTTTAAACTCTTCAGAAAAATTGCCAGGGGACATTATTCCCCCCTCTTCATGTGGAAAGAGGATGAAAATTATTCTCTCTTCTCAGACTGCAAAGAGGATGAGAAGAGATTAAAGTTAAACTTTTTCCAGCCTTTTATCTTGCCTGTAAAATATAAGAGATTTGAAAGAACAAAGGTATGGGAACTGCAAGAGTGAGAAACTGAAAGTCTGCTGAGTCCTCTGGTAAAGTAGTTTACCTCAAAGCTTAAGAATTTGTTGCCTTCCTGAGGATTTGCTTATCCTTTAATCATGATCATGTGGTTTGTGAACTTCAGTACTAAAAAAGGATTTTCAGCTATTCAACTATACATGATGTGAACAGATCAACTGAAAATAATTGTATTCTTGTTTTCCAATCAATAAATTTTATAAATAAGAATCACCTTGCAGTTAATCATCAAACACAAAGCCAAAGCATAACCTTCTACTCTGCCCTCAAGGAGCATTACTAAGTCAGTATGTGGAGTCTCTGGTGCTGCAGCTCATTAGAAAATCAAGTCAAGCTATCACCATATAAAATCCTGAGCCATAGCTCTTGGGGAAAAAACACAACTCTTCAGTAAAACTACATTCATAGCAGCTGACCATCCTTAGTGTGACTGAACCACGAACTGGTAACTTAAGTCATTCCTCTTCTGACAGATCTTGCTGCCTTGTCCCCTCTGTTTTGAGAGAGCAGGTATCAACTACTTAGCATGTATTTGTTTCAGCTTTATTTTGTTTGTGCGAGAAAGAACCTTTGGTTCTTTTCTGATGGTAGCATGTGAGACATGGTTTTTGTGTGTAGAAGTTAGTTAACAAGCATCTTCTAACAGCGTACTGATACATGTTAAGCTGTACTGCCTTGTAGAATAAATGCTTTATGAATGGTATACCAAAAGAAATAGCACAAAAGAAACTTGAGCCAAAGCTATCACCTGTTCCCGCAGCCTTAGAGCACACAGCCTTGCTGTTGGCAGCTGCCCTCTTGTCTTCTCAGAGCATTTTCAGGACAGATAGCTTAATGAGTACCCTCTGTGCAAAGGTTTTGGATATATCTGTGTATTTTCCCTTGCCATGAATGAGTTGACCAGTGTACTGCAAAAAGTTGCAAGTGAAACTGACAGAAAGGGATCTCTTACCAAAGAATATCTAACATATGATCTTTATAAAGAATTATTTCTCAATTAGATAATTCTTTTGAACAACAAAATGGTATCTAATTTTATAAAGGACTTAGTAAGTTAATTTATTTCTGTCTGCAAGTAGTCTTCTCAAAATACAATAAAATAGTTTTGTACATTGAATAGGACAAGATTTTTTTAGATTTCCCTAAAGTACAATGCTAGAGCTGAGAAGAAAATACCTTGCAGAAGAAGCATAGAAGAGCTAAGTTTTATAACATACCAGGTCAGCATTTCTTTAGCCAGGGCTTCGTCTTACAGATTCCCAGGAATTTTGTCTTTCAAAATGAAGACATATAAAAACTGTGGATAACTGTATTTCTAGTAAATGTCTTTGACTGATCAGCCATAAACCCTCTACACAACGGCAATTCTTAAGTCACATTAGTGTGTCCTTACACACGTCACTGAAAATCCACCAAGGTAGCTGAAAACCAAACATGGACCAGCTTTGTTCTGACTGGAGGCTATGCATAAGATAGAATTGCAGCAATTTAATCTGCTTATGTACAAAAAACTTCTTCTGACACAAATTAATCAAAGGAACATTTGCAGATTCTTCATTGAATCTATGGCTTCTGAAGTTATTATCAATGCAGTTAACTGTCTAGATAAGAGCCATCATTTTTTTTTCCCAAAGACATTGAAAATATGGTGTAATGTCATGTCTTCACCTCTCTTAAGAGTGGCACTCACCTATTCTGGAGTGTCTATGAAGGGCTTCCAGTGCTGGTGGCTCTCAGTGACCTATAACAGAGGCATAGTGCTACTGGGACCTGTGAAGAAAGAATCAAAGAGCTCAGTTGGAAGACAAGAAGATTTATAGAAGCACTATAGAAAAGCAGGAGCAAAGAGGGTGTACATCATATGTATTATATATATGTTATATATATATGTGTGTTCATATAGACCTTTGGAATTCATTAGTTGGACTTGCTTCCAGAACAGTGTCCACTGATACCAGTGAAACAGATTACAGTGGGAAACTCTCTAAGCAATATCTACATCTAAAAGGTCATCATTTCCCACTCTATAAGAGTGGAAAGGTTTAAGTGCAAATGTTGTTTTCTATTTTGCAGAAAGAAGACTGCAGTGTTCAAGTAAAAAAAATCAGTAGTCTTTCACAAACAATTTTGTTTTTATCATCTTGTCAACTAGTATCCAATAACTCATACAGACCTTTTCTGTTTAGTACTTTTTTTTTTCCTCTGTCTCCAAATTCCAGGTGGTCCGACCATACCAGACAATGTCCAATCCTATGAGTAAGTTGACAGTACTCAACAGTATGCATTCACATTTCATTTTGGCTGACAATGGCACTACTGGCAAATATGGAGCAGAGGTGAAACTTCGTAGACAGCTGGAAAAGCACATTTCACTTCAGAAGATAAATACACGTGAGTAACATTTTCTTTATTCTGTTTTATAATTGCAATTACATTAAAAAATTACATTAAAAATAATTATAAATAGTAAGTTATGTATATTTCACTATCTACTAGCTAATGTGATGGATGAGCAAGGGATAAGAAAGTAATGATGAACAAAGCTAATACAATTTGATTTTGGAGTAGTGTATGCAAGATTGCAGCACAAAAGTATAAATGAATTTGTTTCTGATAAGTTTCAAACAGTATTTGACAAAGCTCCTCTGATTTGACTCAGATGGTTGGTAACCCATATCCTCAAAATTGTATGCAATTCTGGTCCCTTCATTTAATAATTACTGAATCATGGAATCACTATGGTTGGAAAAGACCACTGGGGCGATCTAGTAAAGATAGAGGGAAGAGTGACAAAAAGCTTTTTTGTGACAAAATTTGGAATGTCTATACATGTACAGATGTATGAAATTCTGTAGTACACAGAAAAGTTGAAGAAGAAATGACTGTACAACTCAAGCAGACCCAGAGTCATCGATATTTAGAGTCAGAGAGTGTTACCTGTAAAGTTGTGAAGTGTTACTCCATGTTTGCACTATATTTACTACTCCTAGACAGCTATCATTGACTACAGCCAGAGACAGAATATAAGGCCAGCTGATCCTTTAATCTCTTTTTTAAAGATCATTTTGGGATAGAACATTCCATGTCATTACCAGACTGAAGCAGCAGGCTTCTCTCAAAGTTGTATTTTTTCTTTCTTTCTCACAGAAAATGGCAAAAAAAAAAAAAAAAAAAAAAAAAATCACTTAGGTTAGTGATTAGGTAAAGTAAAATATAATGTCTCAATATTGATATTATTCTTTCTGTAGTGTTACAAAAGCTTAATTTAGATGTGAAGTTTCCTTCTTTTAAGATATTTTTAGTTTTGTTATTATTATTTCCTTCTACTTAGTGTAAACTTAGTGCTAGCAAAAGAGAAAAGGATCAGTTCTGTAAATTGAGGTTAGAACTTAGGGAGCAAATCTTCAGCTGCGCTGTTGGCAGGTAGAATTCTTTCTCAGTTTTAGAACTGTGGACTCATTTAGGATGGAAAAGACCTTCAGTCCAGACAAACCTCAGCATTGTACCTGCATAACGTACCTTTAGGAATGAAAACAGAACTCATTTTTCAAAAGTGACAATATACAGTTTTTTGCTCAAAACTCCCCTTTTGAGCTTGTGATGCTCAAAACATGCAATTTTGAGGCTAAGAAAGGTGATATTTTTTGTAAGACGAATACTTGAAATTGGAACAAGAGTAGGAAACGCATCTAATTACTCAGGTATCAGAAGATAATGAGTTATAGGCAGGCACAATATGATGCACAAAAACTAGCATTTCAGCAGGGCTTGATAAAGCTTGCTATGTCATGAATGCCAACTCTGCTTAAACTAAAATAGTGCTCTACTTAGATTTTTCAGCACCACTGTGTGAATTGATTGGAGGCAGCAGTAAGTCAAAATGAGAGAAGTCCAGGCTTTTTAGTTTTATGATATCAGTGTAACATTTTCTCAATAGTGTGTGAGTATGCTCAAGTGTGTATGTTTTCTAAGTTGTGTCTTCGTGAGTGTTCTTAGCAGGTGGAGACAGTGTGATCTAAGCCTAGGCTAACAGGAGAGTCATACTTGAATATGGCATACATGACGTTGTCAAGCCGTAGGAAAATGTACTGTAAATGGGATGTTTATAAGAAAATTGTCAGCATGTGTTGTTCACAACATAGTGTTTTGTTGTTGAGACAAGCTTCCTATTAAAAAAGTAAATCTCTTCAGAGATTTAACTTAATTCAGACTTACACGAAACATTTATCCACTGAAAAGTGGCTAAACTCCAAATCTTATTAGCACTCTTGACCTCATCCAAAACCTTCAAAAAAGGAAGGCTTTCTCTTCTCTGGCTTCTCTTTGCAGCCCCCCCCCCCCCCCCTTTCCCCCTCGGGCCCCATGCCCAAGAGTATGTATCTTCTTCTTCTTTTCCCTTTTCCCATGCGGCAGACTGACTCTAGCATTTAACCTCTTCCTGCCAAATCACTCTCTTGTAAATATAAAAATACTCAGATCTCAACAATTCTTCAAAATCAGGAAAGTGAAAGAACTGCTGACAAGGAGGATTGCAGGTGATATTTGTACAGCGCATCTCTGTGACATCCAGAATTTTTATGTTTTCTGTTATGAATGACATTATAGCTTCAGCAAGCAAAATTACTAGCACTGCAAGGATTAGGAAGTTCTTTGTTTATGCCTCGTTTCACTTTCTTCTCTTTGTAAAGAAGGTGATTTAGTGCTGTTTTGCCTCTAGTTAATGGAAAGGTGACCATATGGATGAGAGAAGGACCACCTGTCCTCTTGGGTCAGCCAAACAGATGGTCACTTTTTGATGCCCTTTCTTACCCTTGGTTCTAGCAGAGCAGAAGAGGTTCTTGGTCTTGTGTGCAGGGTCAGTGCTGCAATGAGATCTTCATCTGAACAGGAGTGTGTCTGTGCACACATGCCCTTATTTACTGTTTTACAGTGGTAAGCATTAAAATGGAGTTGAAACACTAGCAGCATCAAACTTTTGTTCTCTAGAGAGCTGGGAAAGTACAGTTATTCCTTAATGATAATAGATAGATAGATAGATAGATAGATAGATAGACAGATAGATAGGTAGATAGATAGATAGGTAGATAGATAGATAGATAGATAGATAGATAGATAGATAGACAGACTAGAAAAAAAGAACAGATTCTGAAACAAAAAGTTTGTGAATTCTTATTTCACAGCCTGTCCTTGGACAATGGTGCTAAAAGCAGATTTTTTTTCTTATTTTTAAGCCTGCCTGACTTTTACATGCTAGGCTTGTCACTTCTTATTTACCTTCCTGTGCTTCAACTGTGCCATTTTTCAATTCAATTATAGTTCCTCTAGATGTTTGGGATTATGCGTTATTCGTGAAGAGAAAATTCAAGTTTACTACTCACCTATAAAAGACATGAAAAACTGTATTCCTCTAAAATAGATTAAGAAAGTAGCAGTCTCCCTTCTTATAAAAACTGAGTTTAAATCAGGCCAGTAAATGTGCCACATAATTCTAAAAAGACTGTTTTTAATATGGCATCACTTGCAGTCATTCAGCAGCATCTAATTTACTGAATGAATGTCACTGTTAAATAATAGTAACAATAATAACAACTTGGCTCATATCCCTGTGAATTTATGACCACTAGAGAAAAAGAAAGATTATTTATTATTTGTTATTATTTATTGAAATCTCTCTTTTCCCTCTACCTATTCAACTTATACCTACCACTTCTATAGCTCTGATTCTGCCCCCAAAAACTATTCACACAAAAATAAAAAATGCTTCCCAGATAAGCAGAGAGTGCATTTGCAGGTTAGTCTAAGTTTGCAGCTCCAGTAGAGTAACCCAGCTGTCATTTAGCTAGAGGTCACTTTGACAATTCAGCGTTTAGAGAAGGTCTTTATTTTCACAAGTGAAGAGAACCTTAACACAACCCAGGAAGTGTTGCTTACAGTGAGCCACCATTTCTCTCGAAGCATGAAGTTTCAAAGTGAATCATTGTGCAATAAGAAATGATAAATGTAAGTTGAACTTCTCAAAAACTGTTTCATGTTCAAAAGTAAATATTGAAACTGATCTGAACAGAAATGTTTCTCATATTCATTTCACACAAGTGTTTGAGTCCTGGACTTCTAGCTGGAATTTGAAGGTAGGAAGGTCTTAAAATGTACTCTGCAAAGAAGGAAAAATATTTTTGTGATGATCTCAGCCATATAGTTTATTTGTACAATATTACATGGATAATTTGACAGCTCTGTAAAAATTTTTTACATAAAAACATGAAATTAAAACACATTCTCACTTACTTCTAGCTCAAAAATATTGCAAAAACTTTGTGACGAAAGTGAAGAAATTTTAAGCATAATAACATGTCTCCACTCAAAATATATGGTTTTTCAAGATTTATTTAGTGAATGGCAGCTGTACTCCAGCTACAATGCTTTGCTTATACTGCAGTGCTCATAAACTCATCCGTAACTTTGTCAAGCTGAGACTGAAAACTTCCAACAATGAGTACTCAACCACCTATCTGAGCTTCTGCAAAAAGTGTGGGGACCTTCCCCATCCTCCTTGATGTCAAGAGCTTCCAAACAGCTATTTATGGCCATTTTATCTTATTTTTCTGGGACTAAGCAAGAGTCTGACTCTAACACCTTTGTAATGCCCTTTAGATTTGTGTAAACAGATACAGGATTACTCTTTTTCAAAATTGTATATAAATTTATCCTTACTGATTATTTTTAATAGGCCTTGGTCCTCAAAAGATTTTCTGCCATGGTACTGTACTGCTCATATTTAATTATTACTCTTCTAAAATTATTTTGCATCCATCAAGCTCCTACATTATTTCTTCATAAAAATCATTCTAAAACTTAAATTTCAACACCAACTTCTGTTCAGAATAAATAAGGTTCTATGTTTCCTCTAAAATATTGGGTGTTTTTTTACTTCTTTAGAATCCTACATATGATTCATTTCCTTCTGCCTTTGAGGGCTTGAAAGTATTCTGGTAATAGGCCTGAGCTGAAGGCTTTACCCTTTTTCAGGCAAAAAGTCACTGTAGTAGATTGAAGTGCAATTAATTTTACCCATTTTGTGAATATATTAAGTAACACTTTCTTATTATCAAAGATAAAAATAATTCATATTACACACAAAGATTACATACTAATGCTTACAGAATTTCTCTTCAAATTTCCTACCTCAAATTTCACCTTTTTTAGTCTGAACTAAGGTTTCCAGATACACAATACACCATTCATTACTGCTGTTTACATTAAGAGGTTTTTACGGGTTAGTTTCTACTGAATCATTTAACTGAATTATGTACAGTTAAACTGTAGTTTAACTGAGTTATTACTTCTAACTGAAATACCTTTAAAGCTTTAAATCTTTAAAGAGCTTTCTGCCT